CCCCCCCATTTTGAAATATTAACATAATAATAGAGTCACCATTTAACATATCCATATTATGTTAAATTAACACAAAAATTTGTATAGACCATTTGGGATATGCGATATATGTTAAATTTAAGTCAAATTTTCCAACTGTGTAACAAAGTTCCCTTCACATCTTACAGAGGATAATATCCTTATTAGTTATAACGAATACTAAATTAGAGAGCTTGTACAAAGCTTTTATGCGTTTACGCTTAAAAGACAGCTACTTCTTAGAATGTTTTCTCTTTTTCTCTGCCTCTTCTGACTTTTTTTTATATGAGAAGTATAGTATGGGAGAGCACGTTCGAGTATGTATAGAGTTCAGTGGACACGTCCGACCGGACTGGTCACGAGGAAATCGCGTTCTAAGCCTCTCTCCTTTCCTTCCTTGAGATGATGTTTCCCCGAAAGCAGTATAACTTAGCTAAGCGTTAAGAAGCCCGTTAGACAGGACAAACCTTTAGGAGACAAAGCTTCGCAAGAGGCTGTTAATTGCGTGTTTGTGGAAACCGAGCGACCGGGTCGTAAAAGCACTTTCGTGTGGTGGCGTTTTAAACGACGATTGGTGATGAGTTCCCACGAAGGAAAGAGAGAGAGAGAGAGAGAGAGACAAGCAATTTTCTGAAAATAGTATATCTCTTCACAAAACGCCAGAAGAAAAAAAAAAGACCAATGAATGGAGGTAAATGTATTTATATTGATGCGTAATTAATTAGTAACACTGCAAATATCGTCAAAAATACAAAACAAAAAACCAAATGTTTTGGTCCATTTCGGAATTAGTTTTTTAGCATTAAAGAAAGTTCAAGATGGATTAAAATGTTTGGCATTTATTGTATTTTTGCAATACTTGCAGTTGCTATAAAATTAATTAATACGCATTTACAACTGCGTTTAGACATTATTTGGTGCGAACCATTTGGGATATGCGATATATGTTAAATTTAAGTCAAATTTTCCAACTGTGTAACAAAGTTCCCTTCACATCTTACAGAGGATAATATCCTTATTAGTTATAACGAATACTAAATTAGAGAGCTTGTACAAAGCTTTTATGCGTTTACGCTTAAAAGACAGCTACTTCTTAGAATGTTTTCTCTTTTTCTCTGCCTCTTCTGACTTTTTTTTATATGAGAAGTATAGTATGGGAGAGCACGTTCGAGTATGTATAGAGTTCAGTGGACACGTCCGACCGGACTGGTCACGAGGAAATCGCGTTCTAAGCCTCTCTCCTTTCCTTCCTTGAGATGATGTTTCCCCGAAAGCAGTATAACTTAGCTAAGCGTTAAGAAGCCCGTTAGACAGGACAAACCTTTAGGAGACAAAGCTTCGCAAGAGGCTGTTAATTGCGTGTTTGTGGAAACCGAGCGACCGGGTCGTAAAAGCACTTTCGTGTGGTGGCGTTTTAAACGACGATTGGTGATGAGTTCCCACGAAGGAAAGAGAGAGAGAGAGAGAGAGAGACAAGCAATTTTCTGAAAATAGTATATCTCTTCACAAAACGCCAGAAGAAAAAAAAAAGACCAATGAATGGAGGTAAATGTATTTATATTGATGCGTAATTAATTAGTAACACTGCAAATATCGTCAAAAATACAAAACAAAAAATCAAATGTTTTGGTCTATTTCGGAATTATTTTTTTAGCATTAAAGAAAGTTCAAGATGGATTAAAATGTTTGGCATTTATTGTATTTTCGCCATACTTGCAGTTGCTATAATTATGATGCGTAATTAATTAGTAACACTGCAAATATCGTCAAAAATACAAAACAAAAAATCAAATGTTTTGGTCTATTTCGGAATTATTTTTTTAGCATTAAAGAAAGTTCAAGATGGATTAAAATGTTTGGCATTTATTGTATTTTTGCAAAATACTTGCAGTTGCTATAATTAATTAATACGCATTTACAACTGCGTTTAGACATTATTTGGTGCGAATGCAACAGGCCTTGAACAGGCGCGAAAATAGAATGAATGCTGGCGGCGAAGTAAGTTGTTAAATGTATTCGCAACTAAAGGAATTAACGCAAATCTATGCAACGACGACGACAAGGATGACGATGTACGCGACGGGATCGATAATGAATCAATTTTTGTCTAACGTCGATTACCACCTAAGGCACGGATGAGATCCGAGCTCGTCCGGCGTGGGAAGACATCCATGGTCGCGATGCTTTCTCCTTATGTAAGATAAACCGTCCGCGCGCGAATAAAAATGATAGATCGTATGTGTAGGTTGATTTTATCTGCAGTGAAAATTTCGTGGGAGACCTAATTAATGTCGGAGAGTGTTTTACATCGAGGAATATAAAACGATGAATTTGCTTTCAAAAGTGTATAACTCGGTGCGAAGATATATTTTACTTTTAAATTAAATTCACACGCGGATGTGGGGAAGCTTTCATCTCTCGTCAGAATCTTAATCCTATAGTTCAACTGAAAGATTCAGTGTAAAAACGAAATATGTCCACTTTTATAACTCGTAAAATCTTTAAATATAAAAGGGAATAAGTACGCACGCATGCAACTTTTTAGATATTAAATATAATGAATGGCCATGGAAGAATTAAATAAGCTAAAGTGCAATAAGATTAATCGAATAATTAATCGATAATAAGATTAATCGCTTTTATTTTTATTTCTCGCTTTTTTTATTCGATCTTTTAATTGTCGAGAATTATTTACTGCTACGTCCGCTATACTTTCTTTTTTTATTTGAAATAGCAATCTTGTTCAGCTGTCATTACTATAGGTCCTTTATCTCTCTATGTTACCCATGATTATCACTTAAACAGGAAAAAAGAGAGGAATTTTAGTTATCTTTCGAATTAGCACGTAGCAATCTCGAAGGAGCCGACACAGCCGTTAACGAGCTGTTGATTAAACGACCCATTTATAAATATGACAGTGTTAATTACAAGCATTATATCGATCGCGAATCGGACGATGCGGCGAATTAATGGCGGTCCCGATTCAGCCAAAGTAGCAAGACGGCAATTTCTTACGCGTCGGATTCTAGCTTCTAATGTGAGCCAGACGCTTAATTAAACTCGATTAACATCTAACGATCATGCGCTCGCTCGCTTAACATAAATCGCTGAGCATCGTCGTGACGTAATTTATTAACTTATCGAAGCCGCCAACTGTCGAGCTAATAACAACACCATATCTGTTCCATAATTTTATTTAAAATTCAGGAATTGTTGACATCCGATTTTTATATACGTAGAATCGGTGACTGTTCAAAAAGAAATGAAAAATATCCATTGATAAGCGATCTTTTTATCATTATTTATTGTCAATTTATTAGTCAACAATGTCGAAACTACCAATGTTTGGCTTCATCCATTTACATTATTCTTTATCTCGTTATATATGCTATCTCATTTCCATTTTTTAATCATGTTAATAAGTTTACGAAATCCTAGAAGTTTGAGACCGATTTGTCTTCTACTCGAGAAGAAACGGTAGAAAAGCATTATCGAATTTGGTTATCTTGGCACGAGCACAGTAATTATGTAGAATAATCAATCTTTGCTTATATCTACCGAAAATCCAAGTCAGCGTCGCATTAAAACACTTGAATTTGCAGGAGATCATTCTAAAATCCGTCTCTTCTTTTTTCTCTTTTTTTCATAACTTGTACCATTTCTTCACTTTATAAATGAATGGCATTATACACACAAAAACAATCTACCAAATAATATTTTTAAATAAATTAAGCTTGAAATGCACAGAGTTTCTTTTTATCGATCCAGCGAAGAGAAAGGTGTACAAGAAATAGTACACAACTCATTTCACTCGGATTAGTTAATTGTGTAATATCGTTCAAATAATAATTACACAGTTGGAAAATTTATATTTTCTTTTTAAAAAATATGATGATTAAAATTTTTGTGTTAAATATTTAACATATTCAGTATTAATTTAACATTGACAAATTGATTTCAAGTTACTATGAAATTGGCATTCATTTTGTGTTGAAATATTAACATAATATTAGTCATCATTTACTATATCCATATTATATTAAATTAACACAAAAATTTACGTGGACATGTGATATATGTTAAATTTAAGCCAAATTGTCCAACTGTGTAGAGGCGCGAGACTAAAGGGCATCGCTTACGATGCGTGTTGCAGGTCGTGGTGCACCGCGCGTAACCGCGGCTCTCGTGAGCGATGGAGAAGGTAGGTTGATTGCCACCCCGATTCGCAAGGAGAACATCGCCGCGAGGAGCAAGGAGGATCTCGCACAGGAAGCGGTTCTGGTCCTTCAACAAGCGGGCAGTCTTCACTGCGTGGCGCGCGACAACCGGCGCAATCTGCCCGGTCGCTTCAGCACCCTCCCGGCGCGTCGTAACAAGAAACGCCCGGAGCTGCCGATCGATGTAAGGCCCCGCCGCGGCAGCGAGGAGATCGGCGGCAGCGCCACGACCGCGAGTGCCGCGGATCTCGGCACCCCGCGGGCCAAGAAGAAGCCGCTGCTAGAGAGAAGCGTCAGCGATGCCGGCGCGAGGAAGCTGAAGAGCCCGCTCGCGCGCTTCTTCTCACCCAAATTGGAAAGGCGGCGGCAGCCGGTTGGCCGGAGCGCGAGCGACGCCGGCACCTGGAACCGTAACCTGGGCACGCAGCGCAAGCGGAGCGGCAGCGAGAGCGAGGGCTCGCACCTCAGTACCGTCAGCCAGCGGGTGAAGAAACAGCTGTCACCAATAATCGAGGCGTCACCGCAGCACGTTGATCAGCAACCGTTTCACTTTGACACCTCGACGTGCGCGGACCGGGAGAACAATAATCGGCCGAAGGCGAAAAAGCCCAAGAAAGGAAGAGAGGAGCGAGCGAGTCCGGCTATCGATGTCGACGACGTGATATCGACGCGATATCCCGAAACGAAAGAGACGATTGAGGAGAAAACAACGATCGAAACGTGCGTCGACGAGATCGCGGATAGATCGCCCAGCCGAGAGGCCAAGGTGATCGAGCATCGCATATTTGTCGAGGGCAGGGACGACGAAGAGAAGAGGGAAATCGCGGGTACCAGCCGTACTCCCTCACCTCTGAAGGAACGCAAGCGCGGGGAAGACGAGGTCGATAAAGCGGGCGCGGATAGTATGCTACATAGCAGCCGCTACGATCTCCAGCAACGTAATCAGCAAGAATCTACCATTCATAAGATGATCCACCGACTGTCCAACGATCGTTCGCCGCCACCGCAGCTGACCAGGACGATGATGTCACCGTCGCCGGGATTCAGCCACAACAACAACCGGCCGTTCTCCTACACGAGACCGAATGAATCTTGCAGCCCGCCGCCGCCGGCGCAGACCAATGTCATCTACGCGCAGGTGCAGCCGGACAAGAAGAAGGCTCAGCGAAGCCATTCCGACAGCGACGAAGGTCTTGGTCTCGACAGGAAGGACTCCTCGCGTGAGAATAGTCCCGCGGAGAAGGAATACCGCAGAACCGAGTACTCGTACAGTAGCGATCTGCGTCGCAACAACGAGATAAACGCCTTCAAGTCGAGATATGAGGAGGATCGTAAGAACGGCGGCCTCTTCGGCAAACATTTGGACAACTCGAAGGACTTTATCTCTAGAACGAACGAGGACACGAAGCGTTACGAGTTCGACGATATCGATAGACGTCTCTACGACAAGCCTGAGAAATACACGTCGACCGTATTCGTGGACACTTCCGGCCGCGGCAGGGCCGACGGTATGGATTCTAAGCGAAGGGACAGCGGCGAGCTGTCGTCGAGGCAGAACGAGAGCGGGATCTCGCCCAAGACGTCCGAATTGAGCGCGCGTCGGGATCTACTGGAGTCCAGGATCAAGTCCAGGTTGCTAGCCGACGAGATGTTCGCTGCCAAGAACAGCGCCAACGTGCCAGTAAAGAAATCGAGCGAGCATGAGATAATCGACAAGCCGATCGTGCCGTCACCAGTCACGCCGAATCGTATCGCGTCACCAAAACGATACATGGATACGTACATCACGGAGAAGCGTACCAATAGCAATGGCGAGAAATACATCTTCGAGAAGGAGATACACGAGGATAACGGCAAGGTTTACGGTTACGAGAAGAAGATCACCAACAAGATCCCGACGAACGGCTACCTCGACCCGAAACCAAAGGACGGCTATACCGTGGAGACCAGGACGGACAAGTACGGCGACAAGTACATCGTGGAGACGCGCACGCATGAGGGTTACGCCGATGACTTCCCCTTCCTCGGCGATCGTAATCGGAGCAGCCCGGAGGAGAGATTCCAGGGCATTAGGAACGGTGGCAGCTCCTACAAGCCGTCGCATTATCTACCTGAGAACGCCGACGCGACAACGAATCACTTTTGCAGCGAATCGCGAGAGAACGAGCTATCGTCGCCGATCATCGCCAAGAAACTGAACGAGCGCAAATTCTCGAAGAGCGACGATTTCCTGGATCGCGAGAAACGGCCGATTGGACGCGTGCTGCCGAAGAAGAAACCGTTCGAGTCGATCCGCGGCATGAGCAAGTCGACGCAACGGTTAGACGAGGTCGCCGGGGAGAACGCCAGAGTGCGGGCGCTCAGAAGCGAGTACACCACGAGATCGCACGAGAACCTGACCAGCCACGCGGGATACGCGAACGCGAGACGACCGACCGCGTTGCTGGGCAGCCCGACGATGAACGGACGCAGGACGAGGTCGCCGTTCGCGAAGCGTGGTCACCTGGACAGTTTGCGCGAGGGCCCGAACGACGACTATGATACCGACATCTCGCAGATGACCAGCAGCCAGCTGGAGTCCAAGTTTTACAAAGAGACGCGCACCACGCAGAGATACACGAGCGGTGACAAACGTCCGATCCACGACGATTATGACAGCTCGCCGCCGCGGATACGTACCGATCGCGGTGGCTACAATTCCAGCCGATACGACTCGGACACAACCGCCAGAGACTCGATCCGCTGCGAGACGCGTTACGATGAGACGTCGCGCACTCTGAGAAAGGAGCACCGCAACCTGGATGATGATCCGAAGAAACCGCTGAGACGATCGCGCAATCGGCTCGATTACTTTGACGATTCCGACGATCCCCGAGGGAAGGTGTCCTCGGTCAGTCGATTGGAGACCTTCGACGAGAGTCCGACCAGACCACCCAGGACTTACCACGAGGGCAAATCAAGGCACGCGAGGCAAGAGGCGCGTGGTCACATCGAGCGCCGTCATCGCGAGACTCGGCTGAGCGATCCGGATCGCAAGGATCGACTGGCCGATTCCGGGATCGAGAACGATTACAGGAGGGACTCGCAGGAGGCGGATAGGCGCGAACAGCTCGAATCCGAGGACGAGGGCTTCGTCAGCCGGCAGTTCATCAAGCACGAACGACGGCATACGGATCGGAACATGAATTTGACGCCTACTTTCGATCGACGCAAATACGACAAGTACGGAAACGGCTCGTCGGGCGCGAAACCACCACTGGTCACCGCGAAGCCGCCCACCGGCGCCGCTGACAAGAAGTACGAGAAGAAGGTGGCGAAGAAAAGCGGCACCATGAGCAAAGTCAAGCAGCTGTTCAGCAAGAAGGAGAAGAAGGCGAAGGAGGAGAAGGACAAGAAAAACGCGAGGAGCGGCAGCAGCGGCGCCTTGACCGACGACGAGGTGACGATGAGGTATCGAGAGTATCGCGGCGATCAGCTGAGAAGTGCCAAGAGCGCGCGGGATTTGGGCAGCGACATCAATCAGGTAAGAGAGTCTTTTTTTTTTCTCCCGCGCGAGATTAACTAACTCAAGGTTAAGGCCGCGGTCAAACACACCGGGATTACATCAACGATGATGGCCGGTGATTGATTGATTTTGGCATCTCGGCTATCTGGGTCAATGAATCGGACGTTAAGCGAGGTCAATGGAATCGCATGTGGATGAAAAAAAAGGCGGTATACCGGAAGTTCTCGTGTGAAAAAATGCAGCGGTAAATGGTTAACCATTAGCGGGCGAGAAACGTTTCTAAAAAAATATTTTTTGTGTTTGATACATTTATATAATTCATATTAATGTATTAAGAAATATCGTAAACACTAAAATCGTAGCAAAATCATAAAAATTATCAGAGTTAAAAGAGATATATATGTATATCTGTTTATAAATTATCTTATAAATTTCGAATATATTTTTTAATGTTTGTAAAATTATTTTAATAATTTAAAATTTTTTAAATTGTTCTTATAACGAAACAATGTATATATTAAATTTTACGAGAGAAATAACAACATCTTTTAGAGAAGGAAAACATCTAAATACTTGGATCATAAACTCGATCAGTTCAAGCTATATATCGAACATTGCATTTCCGGGATTTTCCAAGTTCTCGACGGCGTTCGCGGCAAAGAGAATATACACGATAATATATCAAAATGATCACGCGCGAGCGCAAGTGATTGCGTTTCGAACATCATCTCCGTTAGTCTGAGTAAAAAGAGGAGATAAGGCTCGCGTGATATTAATCAGGATGACCGCCGTGCGCGAGAGTCACAGGGCGTTACGAGAGAGATTCCTGTTCCGCTCACGCCGTATTTATGCGATTGTCGCGGATTAAAGGCGAGATAAAGAAAGAGAGAGAGAGACCGTTCCCGCGTGCGGTTTTGCTTCCGCAATCGGACGTCGAATAATTTTCTCGCGTTTTTTCCGAGCGCCAAGCGCGACTTTATAATCCGCCGACGACGACGACGTCTCCCCGATGTTCGGTATACGCATCGCGAACCGGAAGTAATCGGGTAATTGGGCCCCAAGCCGTCGCCGACTGCCGTTGCAATTGCGTCATGTCTAACTGTACACCTTAGTCGGCCTTTAACACCTAGTCGCGACTTTTCAGCGCGACTTTAACGGGCGACCACGCGGTAGGATTACGCCGCCGCCCACGCCCGCGTAGAAACATATCCTTTTCGGAACATCTATCATGCAAACGCACACATACACGTATACAAGCCGTGACAAGGTAATGCGACACTCGACTCCGCGAAACCCATAGATAGACTCTGACATGCATGTTGAATCGAGGTGACTTGCGCGACACGTGATGACATTTTATTTTTAACTTCAGTTTGCATGATTTTTGATATAAAAATATGATACGATATAAAAACGTAGTTATCCAATTTCTTTGCACCTGTAGACATACATGATAAAAAATTGATAAAAAATTAAAATGTGGTGATAAGTACAGCAAATTTTGATTATATAAAATGAAATTAAAATATTTTAATGTTGGAAGAAGAAAAAATTCAGATTATTACTAATATAGATAAATAAATAGAATATATATTTAAAATTTTAATAAAGAATTAGAAAAAGTGTGTGAAAAATGAAAAAAAAAATATTATTATTAATTACTCATCTACTATGAGATTTATATACTCGAAAAATCGACTCATTTTTCGCATAACACGATTATATCTGACAATTGGTTTGTTTCATTTATCAGTGGACAGTTACGAATGTTATTGTTAGGCTCGAGAATCCTGTACGAAGGCGCACGATAGGCTCGTCGATCTCGCAAAGTTAAGCGGGATAGACGTTACCCCGTAACGGAGCTTTCGCTGTCGGACGTCGCCGGGGTCCCGTATGAAGAGTAATGATACAGCGTCCGCGAGCGATCATCGGCATGAAAGCCCAGTGCCTCCTCTCTTGGGAAATAAGTCGAAGTCCCGCGCGCGCGCGGGGACTCGCCGGACGTAACATTTAACCCGAATGATAGATAATTCTCTCCGTGGCCCGAGGAGATTTTTCCTTGCAGTAAATCTCGGAACGATCGTTATTCCTCGATTGCGCAACTCGTCAAACAGCTCGCCCGCCAGGTATTCAATTTCGCGACGATAAATAGAATACACACACGTATAAGATGGTGCACAGTTGGAAAATTTGACTTAAATTTAACATATATCGCATGTCCCAAACAATCCACGCAAATTTGTTTGTTAATTCAATGTAATATGGATATGTTAAATGACACTAATACTACGTTCATATTTCAATACAAAATTAATGCAAACTTTATAGTAATTTGAAATAAATTTTCTGTAAAATCAACGTATTTTTAATGATAAAACTGGAAAGATATTATTGGTCTGTAATCACTCTTATTTCTATTGTAGAATAAAATCAACATTTTTTTTTCATAAATTTTACCAAATAAATACTGTCACTAATAATACGGAACATATCTATTGTGTAAAATTAAAAATATATGCACATTGTGTTATTTTTACACTTTTGTTCAGTTGTTTTAATAATTTAACATTTGATTTCAATTAACGCAACAGCAATATCTTAAATTAACACATGAAAGTGTTAAATATTAAACACAACAATTTTAACTGTTATATTTTTTAATACGAAAACAAATTTTCCAATTGTGTAGAATGGTACACTTGATGCGGATGTGTGTAAGTGATAGCGCATATTTGCCGTATCACGCTCTGATTAATCGGTCATTTAATATTCCGATTACTGCTGTTGTCTCTGTTCGAGGTCGATCCCGACCGAGTGCTCCCGGCTCTAATTTCCCTTGAGTGAGCTCCTAACTCGATTACGCGCGAGCACATGTTATTAACACGCGTCTCTGCCTCATCCAAGTCGATTTACTGCGCGTTACAGCCGTAAACGATTTGCGGCGAAGGTCGCGATTGCTGCTGGCCGGGTAACGTGCGTCATGCAAACGCACTAATATAAAATATCGACGCCATTATCTAATTAGATGAGTACGCCGTAAATAACGACGCTTATATAGTATATGTGTATATATATATATATATGTATTGTATTGCCTGCCGGCGTGGAAAGGGAGACGAAATTATTCACTCGTTCGCGCACGACGAGTGTTTTCAACAACGAGAATCGTGAGAGCCGCTCGTTGCGATGATGACTCTCGAAAGTCGCAGTTCTCGAACGAAATATATTTGTCGCCGTAAATCTCGAAAAAGAATCAAGCACCATGACACTCTATTTCATCAATCATTTGCAAATTCTCGGCTATAAATCGCTAATTTTTCCTCAATTGTTTGTTAACATTAATCCAATATTATAATTTGCATTTCGATCGCAGCCATAATTATTTGTTTTTATCCAATTTTAAGGAGGTCTTTTTATATTTAACCAACAGTTTCCGGAAGGAGGGGGGGATGAAAAATAGAGACATATTTTAAGATTCCGCACAAAAGAATTGGCCCGGACAATAGAATACTTCGCCGGAGATTGATACACATGCTGCGGGAAGCGTTGAATAGCTCTTGTAGATGCGATCACTTTTAGTTCCATCGATGAGAGATTAATGGACCACAGCGTGTCGTCGGCTGTTGGACCGAAAGCTGCCAACACTAAAAAGAAGGTACACGACGGTAAAGAAAAAGGCGAGCATGAAACGCGTCCACAGAACGGATCTCACGGCGAAGTCGTTACACAACACGTGTTACACGCGTGTGACAGGTATTTGTACGTCGCGAGTGAATTGAGCTAATTGTGAGACGGCATCTCGAATTTTATGCACTTCACATACTTGCGCAAAATTTAAAAAAAAAAAATAAAAAATTCTATACTTATTGTTAGGAAATATTTTTATGAATATAATAAAGTAAATATATAATTATTAAAGTAAAAATAAATATAATAAATTTTTTACTCTTATTTTCGTAATCATCGAAGTCTAGATTGTTGAGATACATAGTTGAGAAACAAATATAAATGTAAATATATAAAACCTTATTTGAAGAAATTGTCGTAGGCTAACGATCGTCTCGTCGCGAATACCTACACGTGACTAGGATGTGTACCCAGACTAGGCTCGTTATCAGGCAATTTATCTCATCGGACGATCTATTTGTTGAATCTAATTCGCAACCATGTGCCATTATCTCCTTCGGCTGCATTTCGCGCGTCCCATTTTCTGTCATTCCGCCTCCGTTAATCACCGGCGCTTTCGCACTTTATCATTAATCGCGGCCACGTCGCCCTGGGACACGACGAAACCCATTTGCCTCTCCCCCCGCTGTTCGGACGACGTCCAACACGGCCGATCGTCGAAGGTACGAAACCCCGTACCCCCTTCCCTTCCTCCTCCTCCTCATCATCCTTACCCTTCATTCTCTCCTCTCGCCGAACGAGTTACACGACAGGGAGCAAACAAACCGCACCGCATGCACCGACGAAGGTGTCTGCCCGGTTCTCGTCGGAGACTTGGTTTTCTCACGCGGCGGGATTCGAGACTCGGTTGCGCAATTTGCATGGCGCGAAATTATAAGGCGCTAAGTATCATTTTTCAAACGTGAAAGTTCCAAGATCTTATTGGCCTATTTTATCACGGCTATATAACTTTGCGATGTAAGCTCTCGGTTCGTTTCGAAAATATATAACATTGTTATTTTCATCACAATATATATGTGGAATGAGAAAATTATTTCAAATACAGTTTCATACACATATATTTAAATTTATATTTATTCTTCAACTATGTACCTCAACAATCTAGACTTCGATGACTAAAAGAATAAGAGTAAAAAATTACACTTTATTATATTCCTAAAAATATTTCCTAGATATAGAATTTTTTATTTTCTTTTATTACATATTATAAATGATATACTATAACATAAATAATATTATTTATAATATTATGAATATAATATATTAATAATATTACTTCAGATAAAATATTAATTTTCACATATAACCCTCCATGTGATTTCTCACCTGCG